GTCACGGTCTGTGACGGGTACCTGAATTCTCTGTCACGGTCTGTGATGGGTATGGATTTTCTCTGTCACGGTCTGTGTGGGGGGGGGGGGCGGGTGCAAAATTTCTACCCTATACACTTCAACACTCCTTTCAGATCGTGTTTCACAAAATACGACTGTTTATTAGATTCACAACTGAATTCGGTACGATTGAGCAAAGTAATTTTCTCCAGCTGCAAATATTTTTTACTCATATTTAGATAACTTGTGGCGGTGATCGAATCAGTATTAAAGAACTTTTGGAGAAAGCAGCACCTGATTCACAACAATTTCGTTCCTTGTTGGAGTATTTACTATTTAAAGGAGCTGTTTTTAATTTAACTGCAACAAATATCTATGACAATAGTATTTGTTTCAATCATGTCAAGAATTTATTATCAAGTAGTGAAAATAAAGAATGGTGTAAGACTTGCAAGTCTGTGTGTAATAGAAAAAAATCAAACACGAAAAATCTTCGTCGTATATCAAAAGAATCTGCTTTAGCTATTTGGAAACATGGTCAGCCACAAGAACATTGGGGTGTGGGTGTGGGTGTGGGTGTGGGTTCCCTACATCTTGTCTATTCCTACATCCGCCACCCAGACCCACACCGGCACCCACACCGGCACTCACACTGGCACCCACACCCACGCCCACACCCACCCACACCCACACGCACACGCACACCCACCCACACCCACACGCACACCCACACCCACCCTCACACCCACACACACACACACCCACACCCTTTAGTTTTTCATCGATAAGGAGTTTTAGATGAAACTTATCAGTGATTCAGACAGCATCATCAATTGTGTACGCCTGTGTTATTGCCAACCTAGCAACCCATAAAAGCTCTGATATAGGTATTTTCTTCAAAGAGAAAGAACGAAAATGCGTCACTTACTTTCTTTCGGGTTTTTATACTCCGCAAAGGAACAGACGCACCTTCATTTTATTCTTCTCTTATCTCACGTAAGTCAACAAAGAATAAGAGTTCGACACCCTCCATTATTGCTCTTGATCGTTTTCAATCCTTTTTTCTCCCTTTTATTCGGAGTAGCTCAACAGATCCGATATATTCAAATGTCAAACGCTAGCTCGTAATCTTCTACAAATAGGCTCATTATCCGAATCACTCTATCGAGTCAGTTTTGCTTTAGACATAGATGAAATCGAACATCGTGTTCAACATGAAACTAAGAAACCGTGCACGTGTTTGCTTCCCAATTGAATAGAAGCAAAAATTCTCAAGTATATATTATTTTTTCTGAATAGACATCCTATTCGAACTTGAGAATTAATCGAATTTGAGAACTTAATACACTCCATCCATAACAGAAGTTAATGAGGTATTTTTCTGTTCGTTTTTACATGATATCAAACTTGGATAAGGCGGCTCTTGTCAGTGCAGTCAAAATAGACAAAGATTTACCTTTATTGCAGTGAGAATTCAGATCCGGATAAGGATATTCATGTTAAAATATGTAAAACAAATCGATGTATAAGGTTCAATGCTGATATTTGTTGAGAGAGTTCGCTGTAGTAAAGTTTGTAACACGGGTTATTAATTGAATACGCAGAGATCTGCTGGCCGATTATTGATTCATTAGGTTTACAGTGATGGTCGACTATTGCAGTGGAACCCTTGTTCGAAACGATGTTTAACCCTTTGAGTACGGGATTATTTTTACATAGTAAAAGTTCTTATAATTCGAAATTAACGTTTGTTTTGCAAAAAATATCACGAAAAACATTATCTAAAACGCTTTTAAAGTGTGATAGTCTTCAAAACAATTTGTAAGACACAATCCTACATCACATTCGATGCATTCATACGAAGTATCTCTTCTCGACTTAGCCCTTCTCACAGTATTAGCACAAACATAACATTTTCTTTTCGGATTTGCTTGAGTTGCAGTTGATGGAATGCGCGAAGGAAAATGTCGTGCTGTCAGTCGTAGTGGACTATCCGAAGGTGGTCGACCTATCGAACTTCGTACTTGACTACCATACTTCTCAATAATCTCTCGGATTACTTCAAGTTGAAAAGTGGCCAAACGAAGATTGATATTTTTCTTCAGTTTATATAAAATATATGCATTATAAATTGTAAGATCCACCAAATGAAAGAAGAACTTTTTGTACTACTTTGCCGATCGACGAATATACTCTGAGAAGCTTATTTGCATGTCATATTTATCGACTAAACCTCTGTTTTCGTTATATTCTTTCACACAAAGAGGTTTCATCTTCGGTTGTCGTGTCTCAAACTGAACTTTTCCCGTTGGAACCATTACGGGTTCATGAATTGTGGATAACATATTCACATCCTTTTTGTCATTCCATCGTAGTGCAAGTAAATTATCAGTATGATAAAAAACTTGTGTACCAGACTCTTCTACTTCTTCGAAGATCGGTAAACCAGCTCGGTTGCTCCTGACAGTTCCAAATGCTCCTGTTTTATATTGATGAAGATATTCAAATAAAATAGGACTAGAATAATAATTATCCACAAATAATGAATGTCCTTTGTTCAAAAGGCGCTCTAATAAAGTTATCACTATAGATCCAGTTACTCCTAGATCAACGTGATAATTGAGTGTCGTATTAGAACCGGTGAACACTATGAAATCCATTATAAAACCTGTTTTGCAGTTACAAAGTGCAAAAATTTTAATTCCAAATTTATGACGTTTTGATGGTACGTATTGTTTGAATTGTAAACGACCCTTCCATAGAGTTAATGTTTCATCAATGCAAAGATTTTTATATGGATTCAAACAGCAGAAGAATTTTCTTTTTAATTCATCAATAATTGGTCGTACTTTGTAGAGACTATCTTCAACGATTTCATTTTGGTTGTCATTGAAATGTAGATTAGTAAGTAAAGCTCTGAATCGATCTCTAGTAAAAAGTTCAGCAAATATAGGTGTTGAAATAAGATGATTCGTAGACCAATAATCACAAATACAATTTTTTTTCGAGTGAGGCATCAGCATAACTGTAGCTAAAAATGTATACATTTCATTGATTGTAGTATCGACCCATGGAATTGTATGACTGTAGCTTGTCCGTGAAAAATTTGCATGAAATCGATTTGTTTCTTTAACAATTATTTCAAGTAATCTTCGATCAAAAAATAGCTCGAAAAAATCAAGTGGTGTTTCGAGAGTAAGATTTTTTATTTTTGAGGATAATCCACAACTCCTTGAATCAAAATTAAATAGACGAGGATTGAAATTTCCTTTTCTCCAGTTTCTTGATGTAGTAGAAAACTTTTCAAAGGAATTTGTGAAGTCCTCTTCCAGATCGCTGTTATAATCATCTTCATCGGAACTTTCATCATACGAACTGCGTTCAGACTCGTTGCTAGATTCTGAATCCATCGTGTGTTCAGTGATTTCTATACTAATTTTTGGTTGAGCGCAAACACTCTTTGTAAACAATAAATGGCAAAGAAAAAGACGAGTATATTGTAATAAGTTATCCTTTCAATGGAATTATAAGAACAAAACAGAAACATATATATATATATATATATATATATCGATTAAGGAGAAAAAAGAATCTACTCGAAGGCTTCTGAAAGCATCTGTGAAAGCAGAAGAAAGAGAACATGACGTCATTATACGATAACGGAATGACAAAGAAAAACATTATATACCTATGAGTCAACAATGGCCAACAAATGTCCTTCGTGACCTTTCATATAGTCTTAACCGTACAAACATCATAAACACAAATATTTACGTGATTCATATCATTAAATAATCAAGAGATTACATTATCTGTAATTCTTCAGGCCCTAAAATACCAGGACGAGAATTCTCGTCCCCCGTACTCAAAGGGTTAAACTATTTTTTTCATATTTGTCTCAATTTCCTATCATGACAAGAAATTTTATTAAAAAAAAGCATAGGACGGGGGACGTTTTAGGTGCATTTCGGCCCAATTAGAAAGTGAAGGTAGAATAGCCTGAAACTTTCAGCAAATGCTCAACTACATGTTAGTAGTCATTGCTGAAAATTTCAGCTTGATCCGTTGAACTTTTCCTTTACTTCAATCCATGAAGAACATAGACCCTAAATATACGT